CAGGGCCACCAGCGGGCATTTCTTCTGACCAATCATTTCATACTGTGGTAGTTATTAAATAGTTTATCAGTTCTGTGTATATGAAAAAAACACACACACTACATCAGTCAGCATAGGCTAGGTTAGCTGAAGAAACCAATGACCCTAGACTCTTGGTGGTTGACAACAACAAATGTGTATTTGTCACTCACGCTACATGACCATCAAGGGTCTGCTGTGGCTCTGCCCGGTGTGTTCTCCACGCATCGGCTGGGACCAGGCTGATGGAGCAGGCTTACTCCAAAGTCAGTGAGGGAGAGGGAAGGGGGAGGGGACAGTGGCCCCAGTGCTGGCTGGAAGGTGCCGCTCATAAGTGCACACACTTCTTCGTCCAGAGCAAGTCTCTCGGCTGACCTGGGTTTATAGGGCAGGCACACTTATGGGGGAAGAATGCTACAAGCTGCCACACACAGCATTCTGAAGGCTTCCCTTGGTGATTTATTGATACCATGTTCACGCTGTCTTTGCCTGACTCCCGCCCATTCATCAACCTGACCACTCTCCCCTTCCACTGCTACTCTGGTCTAATCCCCAGGCCAGCCCTGTGTCACCTCACTTCAGTTTCAGATGTGATCTATTTCTACCCATTCAGTTTCAACACCCAGGTACCTTCTATCTTTGCCAGCTCTCCCCTGCTGTCCACTGTAGCCTGAGGCCTTAGGTCAGTGGTCTCCAAACTTCTGTAATCGTGCCCATGTAGCATGAATAATTTTTGAGTGGGTAACTCAAAAGTATGTTTATTTCAACTGTGATATGTTAAACTACAAATCCATTTATTTAATATTAATAAAGTTTAAGTTTTATCTTTTTGAAAATAAATATAAAAAGAAGTTCTAATGTTTTCTTAGTATATCCTACTGTTATGGGCTGAATCGTGTCTCTCCCCAGATTCATATGTTGAAGCCTTAACCCCAAGTGCTTCGAATGTGACCTTCTATATTTGGAAATAGGTGTATTTAGAGACCTATTTAGGGTCTTAAAATAGGTAATTAGGTTAAAATGGGGTCCTTAGGGTGGACCTAATCCAATACGACTGATGTCCTTATAAGAAGGGAATAGGACACAGAAAGGCACAGAGAAATCAAGTGAAGACATAGAGATAAGATAGCCATCAACAGGCCAAGGAGCAAGGCCTCCGGAGAAAACCAATCCTGGAAATACCTTGATCTTGAACTTCTAGACTCCAGAATTGTGAGAAAATAAATTTCCATTGTTTAAGCCACACAGTCTGTGGTATTTGTTGCAGCAGCCTTGGCAAAGTAATACACCTACTTTGGAAATAATTAGTCTAGGATACCCTCGTTCTAAAAACATTTTCTTCCAAATACTCCTAAATGGATCCACTTACTATCTTATGCTGCAAAATAGTAGCATGACTGCTAAGGAAACAGCGCTTGTGACGCATGAAGGATCTTCTTAGGCCATGGGTCCTAGACCATGATCACAGTGACAGTGCCTGACGTAGTAGGTGCACAATAAATATAGTAGCACTGCTCCTAAGGAAACAGCGCTTGTTACTTATTAAGGATCTTCTTAGGCCATGGGTCCTAGACCACGATCACAGTGACAGTGCCTGACGTAGTAGGTGCACAATAAATATAGTAGCACTACTCCTAAGGAAACAGCGCTTGTTACTTATTAAGGATCTTCTTAGGCCATGGGTCCTAGACCACGATCACAGTGACAGTGCCTGACATAGTAGGTGCACAATAAATATTTGTGAATGTGTTGAATGAACTGTAATCTAAGAGAGAAGCCTGTGACCCTCCCCGGGAAACAAGCTCAGAGGGGCCAAGTGGTTTGCTCAAGGTGACTCAGGTCTGTCTCACCCCAAAGCCGGCCCTCTTTTTTGTTTTTTTTTTTGCGATACACGGGCCTCTCGCTGTTGTGGCCTACTTCCGTTGCAGAGCACAGGCTGTGGACGCGCAGGCTCAGCGGCCATGGCTCACGGGCCCAGCCGCTCTGTGGCATGTGGGACCTTCCCAGACCGGGGCACGAACCCGTATCCCCTGCATCGTCAGGCGGACTCCCAACCACTGCGCCACCACGGAAGCCCTTGAAAGCCAGCCCTCTTAATTCACTCTTCCCTCCTGTCATGTTAATCCTCCTGCCCCACCCCTGCTCCTCACCTGATGGAATTTCCCCATCTCAGGTGGGCATCCTTAGGCCACAGAAGAATGAGATCTCAGAACCGAAGAGCCGAAGGGATGATCAAAGTGAATCTCACAGCTGAGGAAGCCGAGGCCCAGGAGTATTTGGAGAGATCTAGTGATTCCCAAGGCCACACAGCATACCTTAATCTTGGTCATCAACTGACTCGCCTGAATCATAGTCTCTCAATTAGAGTTTATACTAGTTCACCCTCGAGAGTGAGTCTGAGATCCTCAAAAGAGACCGTTAAGGGGGAAAAAAAGACAAGTCCACAGAGAGGGAGAAGATATCTGTGATATAAATATCTGACAAAGGACTCATATCCTGAATATATAAAGAACTTCTACAAATCAATAACAGAAAGATAACCCAATAGCAAAACAGGCAAAAGACATGAACAGGTCCTACACCAAAGCAGATATCCAAATGATCAATAAACATATAAAAAGATGCCAAATTGCTCAGCTACTCTATACATCAGGGAAATGAAAATTGAAACCATAATGTGATACCACTGTACACCCACCAGAATGGATAAAATAAGAAAGGCAGACAATATCAAGTGTTTGGGAGGATGTGGAGCCCCCAGAACTTGTTGCCAGTAGAGGATATAAATTAGTTCGACAGCTTTGGAAGACCGTGTGGCAACATTTGCTAAGGTTGGACGTACACCTAACCTGTGACTAGCAATTCCACTCCCGGACACATAACCAGCAGACACGTATGCAAATATTCACCCAAGCGTTTGTAGCAACACTATTCATAACAGCCCCAAATTATAAATAGCACAAATGTCCATCAACAGTACCATAAACAAATGTTTTAATCTGTTCATACAATGAAATACAGCACCGCGATGAGAATGAACAAACTATAACTACATGTAATAGTATGAATCTCATAAACACGCTGAACAACGGAAGCCAGGCCAAAAAATTGTTAATATCGTATGATTCCATTTACACAAAGTGCAAAATCGGGAGGACTAATGAATGATGTTAAAGGTCAGGCTAGTCGTTACCTTTGGGGGGGAAAGGTGTAACTGGAAGGCCTATGAGGGGCTCCCGAGATGCTGTTTAAGTTTTGTTTCTTCATAGGGGTGCGTTCACTTTGGGAGAATTTATCAAGCTGTGCTTATGATTTCTATCATATTCCGTATGTACGCTATACTTCCGTGAAATTTACCCCCCAAAAGTCCGTGCCAGTCTTGTTATAAATCAACTCTTGAGTTAACAGCTGTCTTTGAGATGTCATTACATTAGTCATTTACACTTGAGGTCAATGGAGAAACCCCTTGCAAACGTGGGAACGTTTGACTAATTGAAGCCTCTAGTCTCTTTGGGGGTTTCTTTGGTCTGGGTGAAACATTGCAGTAGCATCAGTGTGGTCTTTCCTCCACCAAAAAACATACACTGTTGGCGTACAAGAGCGCCTGGGTGTGGTTTCAGGTGGCTTTGCCCCGGGGTCCTTGGCGAATGGGGGTTAGTAGCCACAGAGGCACTCAGGGCCCGCCTGCCTGACAGGAAGGAAAGAGAAATACGTCAATTGTTCTAGCATGAAGAAAAATTGACTTCCTTCTCCAGAACGAGCTCCCCTGGTCTCCTCTCTTGAAGCTGAGGCAAAGGTAGGCTGAGCACCTGAGTCCAGCCCTTCGGGCAGCTTGTTTTAAGGGTGGGGTGGATAGAGATTACGGTTTATATAACTTCTCTTAAACTAATGGCTTTGAAAATGTAGGAAATAAAAGGAATGATATATCAGACAGAGGATAACTTGTAATTTTATTGAATAGCATACATTTTAAATGTAGGATAAGAATGATTTGAATGGAAAGGAGGAATACTTTAGAGTTAGTTAAAAAACTAAACAAAGAACACTACTTGAAAGCTATATGGTGTGAATTTTTTCTGTGGGGGTAGAGAGTGTTGTTTGATTTCCTTTTTGGTTTGTAAATTCTTATACATACAGTTTATTATTGTTTGGCTCTGAATCAACTTCACAGATTCCAATTCTTTGATCCCCCATAATCTTTAGTTTGGAGGTGGAACATAAATGTAATTTTAAAATTAAGAAAATTAAGTTAGCCGGGGTCTAATTTAAATGTCTTGCAATTCAGCCTCCTTAACCCCCAAACAGAATTTCCTGACAAGAGGAGAGATTATGAGAAGAAAATGCATGTTAGATATTAAGTATCTACTGAGACGTTAGAATTGGTATAGAAAAAGATTATTTAGCCAAGATAGTAGAAGATTCTATGTTCTTAACTTTCCTGTCTAAACAAAGCATAAGACTTTGGAGTTAAACAGACCCAGATTAGAGTGTGACTTTAGGTAAATTACTTAATTGCTGCAAGCCTCGCTCTCCTCGTCTGTAAAATGGATATCCTTTCATCATAAGGTTGCAACGAGGACTGAGATGGTGTGTGTAGAGAACTTGTCAAACTCTCTGGTCCAGAGTAAGTGCCAAATGTCAATAAACAGTAGCGGTTGGTACAAAAAAAGTGTAGCAATAATTATGAGTAGTACCTCCTGTATGTAACAATATGATAATATTAATTCTCATCTTTTTACCTTTCCATGAGAAAAGGTCAAGTTTAAGCCTGAAATATCATGGATTTCTATTTCAGTGTTTAACTTTGATTCTAAAAAGGCATTTGGGGGTTATTTTTGGTGGCAAGATGTCTGTGTGAATGAGAAAGGATAGACTCCACAGTGAATGCAGGAACCTTCCAGAAGGGGCACCCTTTCCGCCTTCTCCTGTCTCTTGTAGGTGTCAAGTTTTCTAGGCTTAAACCCACGGACACACAACGTCATATATTAAGGACAGAGTTTTGAGGGACCTGAAGCTTTTATGATGTCTGGAGACTTTAAGAAAACAAATACAAGATCAGGAATTGCAAATGAAGGGGCGAGAAGCCCAAGGTCACCGGCTTCCTGGAAAACCCACCTCTGGTTCAGTGACCAGAGAGACGAAGAATTTGCAAAGGCTTGTCTCTCTTTCCACGTCACAGTTCCTGAGGGACACACAGGCGAGTTGTCTCACCTTTGCAAAAAGGAGCCCATCAAGCCTGTGAGTACGAGGCCAGCTTGAGCTGGAACCACAGACACAAGAGCCGCCTTGCGTTCCGGTCCTTCCTTAGGAGGACGGACTGGTGGTCCTTGCGGCTGTTCCAGGCGTCCGTAAGGAAAGTCCATGTGCAAAAAAGAGATGACATTTTCAGGTGAAGCTGCAAGGTCTGCGTAGTCCCTCAACTTTTCCCCTGCATTCGAGGCAGAAAGTATTGTGGCTGCCTTCGGAAAAAGCTGCAGCTTCTCAAGGAAACAGCTGTGGTGAAACACAGCAGCGGAGGGTGCGGTCTCTGAAGCGACGGGGGCTGTGAGCCTCGCTCGGCTGTGACTTTCAGCCTTGGGCACGGTCTCTAGTTTGCCTTGAAAGTCTGGGTGGCGATGACAGTCGTGTTCACACGCAGGCATGTCAGGCATGTCGCCTGATCTGCCGCATTTCCCTCCATCACAGGCAGGGGGTGGTGCTTTCGTTCCTTTGATGTGATGACCAGCTGCTCAGAGGTGATAGATATTTAGATGAAAGGACGTGGGGACGGCCTGCAGATAAAGAGCGTTTCCTTTCCTGTTCTCCTTTTCTCTTCTCGCCCTCAGTTTCACGTTTCTTGTACTTTTCCCCCTCATCAGATCTAAAAAGCCGAAGTCAATCTTGGCTGTTAGGCTGAGGAAAGCAAGCAAGCGTGGTTTCAAAACTCACACGTGTTTAGCGACTTCCCTGGAGGTCCAGTGGTTAAGACTCCGCGTTTCCACTTCAGGGGACGCGGGTTCGATCCCTGGTCGGGGAACTGAGATCCCACAAGCCGCTCGGCCAAAAAAATTTTTAAAACAGACACATTTGGATGTTCCTTTCCCCTGGCAAAAGGGGTCCCACACGTTTCTCCCCTGGGACTCTTTCCGTGCCCCCTCCCCTGCCCCCCATCCATTTCTGCTCTCTCCATATGCAGTGAATCACGCCTTCCTCTGAGCGGCCTCCTCTGTAGATCCTTATGTGTTTATACTCATCCTACCATGTCGTAACTTATTCGTTCGCATGTCCATTTTCTGGCTGGAGTGCGAGCTTTTTGAACGCAGAGACTGGCTCCTACTTATTTCATATCCTCAATCCGTGGCACATGCCTGGCACACACAAGGACCAATGAAATCAGCGCTGTGGATCAATGCACTAATCACCAAACCGCGTTGGTCTGGATGCAAAGTTCCACTGGGACACAGCACGACCGGCTACCGGCAAGACGGAAATACGCGGACTGAAACACTGTGCTGGGTTTAGGAGGGGTCCCTGCTGTCTCAGTCCCTATCGGTCCCAGAGAAATGGCTTGAGTCCTGCTTTGGGGCCTTCCTGAAGGGGCAGAGGGGGAGCAGAGAGGACGAGTTCTGAGTGCTGCTTGCTTTGTTCCAGCTGTTGCTCTAGGGCTGTACCCAGATGATTCCAGAATTGGGGTTTGATCCCATGTTGTCTGACACCCAAACCTATGCTGAGATGGGATGGTTTGCTGTGAAGTGCTTCTCCAGGTGGCTCTGGGAGACTTTTTCCTTCAAAGTGGTGCTTTGGTGTAGGTTTTATTTATTTTTTAATTGTTAGATAAAATTAGACTGGTAGATGGGATACTGTAAAACAAAAGGCAGCCACCGTTTCAAATGTACAAAAATGCAATTGAGAAAGGAGGTTGGGGGCTAGACTCGGCTCCATGTGGGTGAGGACAGAGCCTGATTCCAGTTCTTGGGACAAAAACACAATTTAAGAATTTGTTGGGTGCGTGAGAGAGTGACTAAATATTATCATAGAAAAACCGGATCTGGGAGATTTCATTATTCAAGCTATGAGATTGTAAATTTCTGCATGAGATCATTAAACTAAAATACCTTTTAGTGTGCTTCTCAGATTTGAAATGACTCAGATTTCCCGATGCTTTCCAGATGTCTGAAGCCTGGAGCTTTCTGAGATGAGTGTTGTTTGCTCACCTGACTGTCCTTCCTTCCTGCTCTACTCGAATTCGTGCTTCCTGCTTTGGCAAGTAAACCCGCATGTTACAATATTCACTGGGTTTCTCAACCCCAGCGAAACATTAAGGACCTATTTGCTGGGTGATGAGGGGTCACTAAAAACCAATGGGACCACTAGAAGGACACTTGAATCAGACAGAAAGAAGTCCGAGTCATGATAGAGAAATACACAAAGGAAAACGGGGTCATAATGAAGAAGCAATTTACTGTGCTTGTAAATAAGGAGAAAGTTCCTGAATTAGTTAGCAATTAATCTGGACCTTGAAAGATTAATAATAATAATGACGATGATGGTACTATTACTACTACCACAGTTAACATTTGTCAACGGCTTATTATATGCTCACCACTGTGATCTAAGTACTTTACGGGTAACAGCACATTTAATCCTCAGAGCAACTCTAGGAAGTGGGTGTTGTCATTCTCTCTACTTTATGGGCAAGGAAATTAAATCCCAAGGGGCTTAGGTAACTTGCCCAGCATCTCAGCAGTCAGTAAGGGGCAGAGCAGAGCTACTCACTCGCCCAGTGAGGCTCCAAATCCTGCTTTGTGGACTGTTCCCCTCACCGCCTCCGAGGAAATTAGATTTTGGTAGGGAGAGGCAAGAGCAGGAGTGAACGCATGGAAAAAGAAAAGCGCATGATGTGTTCAGGGAGCAGTCTCAGATGTGTCTAATTTGGGAGCATTGCAGCATTCTGTGGGAATTAAGGATGGAGGAGTAGGGAGGAGGCCAGATCAGCGAGGGTGAGAAAGGCCGTTTCGTAGTTTAGAACTCACGTGTAGGCGGTGGAGACCCTCAGCTCCTTTCCTGGGGGAGGAGTGACATATTCCCACCTCATCCTTGCTCAGTGGACTGTCCCTCACCCTAGAGATGTTCCTCTCCTTCCTCAGACCAGCTCCTTTTCTTCTCCCGGGCTCAGCCATGAAGATTTTCCTGTCCTCTCCGGTCACCAGTCTCCTTCTTACTCACCATCCATTCAGTGCTGTCACTCCTGTTCCCACTGGTCGGCTGCAGGCTAATGGACACAGCCAGTTCTGGACCCCATCAGTTGCTCCTGTTACCCACTTTGTGTTACAGATGCCATGCTCACACCTTGCTCCCTCATCCCAGCATAAGGCAAGGAACACGCCAACTGATTTTAATAGATCTCATAGAATTCTTTTACAATCTCCATTTTTTGACTCAAAAACATCAGAGAGATCAAAGCATCCAACAGAGAAGTCTATTTGTTTTATCCATGTTTTGAAGAATATGAAAAAGAATCCAGGGTGGCTTCTAGTTTCCTACTAGCGTCGGTGACCAGAAATGGAATCTGTAAAGATGGACCTTAGCTTGCTAAGGCCGCCAGGTGGATGGACTTCTCTGTTACTTTCTTGGTATTTACCATGGGTGCATGCTGCTGGCTAATTAGCTCCATCTGCCACCCTAGAAACCTCTCTTGACTAGGAAAAAGTTCACTAAAAATAAATAAATAAATAGTTTTAAAAAAATAAGTAAATCATTGCCATAAGTCTGGGGCACCTTGTCTTGGATAAATAGACTATAGGCGAAGATTAGTTTTAGTGAATTGGGTTTGAGTGATTTGACAGGTGGATTACAGAGTAAAATCTCCAATTTGGCTGTTGATGTAAAACTTAGAGGAATTCAAATGCCAGCCTACCAGGGATAAAGTGCAGAAAGAACTCCAGATTCTGTTCAAGAGGACTGAAAAGATGCCGTTGAAATAACTTGGATGATTGCTGTTGAAAGAGAAACTCTGAGCTCTCAGAACCTGGAAATCAGACCTGGAATTGCATAAGCAAATTTACAATCAAACTAAAACCCCAACACAGCTTAAAACAATAAAAACAACTGACCAGTCCTCTAATTTCCCCACCCCATTCTCCTAAAACCCAAAAATATGTTGAAAAATGAACAAGAGAATGATATACACAGTTTAATTTGTAAGTGACCTGAGAAATCATTGGATTCTCTAGTTCAGTGGTTCTTAAACCCCAAGGACCCAATGCTCACCCTTTATAGGAAATATTTTGTAGTTCACCTTTTGCTATCTGGAATTGGAATTCATGTACAATATAATTTACCTACACCAATAACAACAACAACAATAATGCATCATTACTGTTATAAAAGGAGAAATAAAGGGGCAGTAAATTATAAGAATATAATATGTACTCATATATGTAAACTACATTAGAAGACACAGTGAAGTTGTCAAATGTTCGCATACATAGAATCACATTGACTAGAACATCTACAAATGCAGACCATTACCAGTATTAAGGCATTAGTGATTCAAATGCTACAAGCCATGCTGCCCTTGGCGATGCAACTCTCTGAAATGATAAACAATTTTTGTTAAAGTTCTAAATGCAACCAAGTACAGTCTTTCTTCAATTTACACAATAGTTGCATTCTGGAAAACTCAGAGTATGTGAAAACTCTGCAAAATATACTTTGTGTTTCTATGAGTTAAATTCTATTATCAGAAAATTATACTTCTTTCCTAGTTGAATTATCTGGTAAGATAGCCAACATTTGTATGGGAATGCAAGGTAACTCTTTGTCACTGTGACAACCAAAAGCACCCCACAAATATCTAGAGGGAAGCATGGTACTGCCCCTACTGAAAAAGCCTGAACAAATCCAAATAAGATGAAGCACCTGTGGCTCAAACGTGTGAAATGTCTAAGCCACCAAGCCAGTTGGGATACTAGGAGGACCCTGGTAACCAAAGAGAAAACATCCTCCTAAGTTTCTGTTAAAACTTGAAATGAATGATCCTGGGGTGATGCTCTATGCGGTACTGATTGCATCAGTTCAAAAAGTCACCCTTGTGTAGAGAGGATCTGGACACAGGTCCTCCAAGTTAAAGGAAAAAAGTACATTTCAAAACAATAATAGGGACTTCCCTGGTGGCGCAGTGGTTAAGAATCCGCCTGCCAATGCAGGGGACACGGGTTTGATCCCTGGTCTGGGACGATCCCACATGCTGCGGAGCAACTATGCCCATGCGCCACAACTACTGAGCCTGCGCTCTAGAGCCCACGAGCCACAACTACTGAACCCATGTGCCGCAACTACTGAAGCCCGCGCGCCTAGAGCCGGCGCTCTGCAACAAGAGAAGCCTGTGCAATGAGAAGCCCGCGCACGGCCCCCAAGATTAACCCCTGCTCACCGCAGCTAGAGAAAGCCTGCACGCAGCAACAAAGACCCAACACAGCCAAAAATTAATTAAAATTTAAAAACCTAAAAAAAAAAAAGAAGGATTTACTCATGGTAGTTATCAACCACGTGCTTGGATGACTGAAGGTTTATAGAAACCAGAGTCAAAATCTCTCAAAGTCGAGAATAAAAACTCAGAGAGAGAAACACGGCACACCCAGACCTAGGAGAAAACACCCTCCTAGGCTTTCTGTTAAATCTTGAAATGAATGATCCTGGGGTGATGCTTCGTCTAAGCTTTATCCCTGTATCAACTTGGAACACCAGAAAGCACCATGTTTTGCTGTGTATTTGAAAGGCTTTCAATGAACTATAATCTGGTGCTCTATCCTTAGTTAATCTGAAATCAATATAATGATGATACGTGAAGCACAGTTTTGCATCTTCTGCCAAACCACTGCTCAGATAATTGATTGCCTTTTTGGTCCATGCCCTTTACACCTCAAGAATGCCCTTGTTTTCTTTCGATTTATCAGAACTATGTACACCACTTTGATTTGGGGTTTTGTTTCGTTCTGTTTTGTTTTGCCTTGGTTGCTAGGAAGGTCAGAGATACAGCTAATGCTCAAGTACAGTGACTGTTCCACTGCAGGTTCCTGGTAGAAATTGTCGGCCCCTTTTCGCTCTGGTTGCTGTTTCTCTGACTTTAATCGTCCTCTCTGTGCTTTTATTGTGAGCTACATCATCTTCTTGTGAAGAGTAGGATAGAGTATAAATTACCAGTCATTAAGTCCTGTATCCTAAGCACCTGAACAGTGCCTGGCACGTGGGTGCTTTATCAACATTTAATGAATGGATGATGGCTGGATGCTGGAAACGAACTCAATTTCACTTTTCTGTAAATAGCAGTGGATGGCCACTAGGGGGAGGAAGAGCGCCCACTCCTCCCTGCAGATGGCTCTCTGAAGCCACAGGCATACGTTTGGTAGAGAGCAGTAGTGTTTTTAAGTAACCGAATCCTGCATTTCTGGAATGGGTAGGGCCTTTCCCCCTGAAGGAGTGAACACTGAGTACTGCAGGAGCACTCTCTTCCAGCCCAGGGCTGCGCTGCTTCTGCTGGACAGCAGAGTCCAAAGGCCACATGGAGAGAAAGCTCAGTGCACAGATCACATGTTTTGAAACAACTGCAAAAATCTTCATTTAAAACACTTGAGAATCAGACAAACAGGATAGTACTTGGCCTAGTAGTATGGTTAATAGGTTAAAATAAGAAAAAAGCAGGAAGAACCGAGGGCGTGTTTAGAAGAAATAGGCTCATGACGTTGGTGACACGGTGGCTAGTTTGCACTTTACCACTTAGCACTTGATTACACGCTGTTTCCCAGCACTCTCCTCTTTTTTTGTGTGGTACGCGGGCCTCTCACTGTTGTGGCCTCTCCCGTTGCGGAGCACAGGCACTGGATGCGCAGGCTCAGTGGCCATGGCTCACGGGCCCAGCCGCCCCATGGCATGTGGGATCTTCCCAGACCGGGGCACGAACCCGTGTCCCCTGCATCGGCAGGCGGACTCTCAACCACTGCGCCACCAGGGAAGCCCCAGCACTTTCCTCTTTCCCAGAGACTCAGAGCCTTGGGGAGCTCCGTCTATTCATCTGGAAACGCGGGCCCAAGGAGGGATGTGGCTTTGACTCTGGTGGGGCTGGAGCCCCAAGTCCTTGTCCCTGTCTGTCCCTGTCATTTTCCCACCGTCTACATAGGACACCTTTTGGGAGCAGGCACTTGGGACTGCTTGGCTGGAGACCAGAGGCCAGGAGCGTCTCCTGGCAGCCCTGGGCTTTCCTACTTCTCATGCAACCTCTGCAATTTGGGTGGGCCACATATTTTAACTTTATCCTACAATAGAGAAACTGACAGATAGAGAATCCCTTAAGCCAGGGGTCCTTAGCCTGTAGGTCCATGACCTTGGACATGAAAAAATTTTACATCATTGTTTTCATTAACCCGTAACTAAAATTTAGCATTTCCTGCAATTATGAGTATAGGCACTGAACCACAGTAGAACTAGCAGGACTGGTGACTGCCACAAATAGAAATCACAGATATTTTTATGCCACATTGTATGTTGCAGATATCTGAAAACATTGTTTACAATCATCACTACTCTGAAATTAGCTGTTAGAGCACTGCTAGATTTCATGCATCAATGGACTCATCTATTGCTATGTTATAATCTTTAAAAATTTCAGTATCATCGATTTCCTTTGTAATAATGTATTTTATTTTATGCACTTAAATACAGAAGCTTCACCAGATGACCAAAGATTAAGAATCTGTGCTTAAAGAAATGATTCCTTAGGGTTCTATTAACTTCTCTTTCATTGATTTGCTATGAATCATAAATTAATATAATGTGCATTTCTGTTGCAGCCGAACAAAGGGAGTTTAGCTTCTAAAGAATTGAAAGGAAGTCTTATTACTAAGGAATTCATGTAGATTTGATAACAAAATGGCATTCTAGAAAGTGCATCAATTAGAGCTGCATTTTCTGCTTTTCACTGACATGCCTCTCTCCAGTGCTTTATCAATTCAATGCCATCCTCTTGGTTGGGGGGAAGAACAGATTGAAGGTGATGTGTGTCCAATGTCACTGATGGCAAAAGAAAGTAGGAGGAATGTATGCAGAACCTGGCAACTAGCATTAACCAGAAACAAGACCCCGGGCATAAGGCAGCCACTGAAGACCATTAAAGACCATAGATAATGGGTAGATTGAGGTTGTGGTGATATCCCTTTATACATCCTTAGTTGATTAAACAGTTTTTTTTTGAGTCTTGAAGTTAACTGTAAAAATTACAGTTAGCAGTTGAGAACGTGGTTGTTCTAATGTACTTTCAATTAGGATGATGTACGTTAAAGATTGACCTATATGCCTCTAATCACTCAAGATACAGAATTCATATTAGAAAAATTCAAGTGTGTAAGTTTGAGGCTTTTAGAAACACGAGAAGGCCAATTTAATAAAATTTAAAATCTTACGTTATCATCATGGCAGAAAATGCAAAGATCTGTCTGTGTAGAGCATTTTGTCTCTTCTGGACTCATGCTGCAGTATAGGTACATCAGCCAGGAAAAATGATGCCATTTTTATTGTCTTTTCTACAGGTATTGAACTGGCTGGGCTTTTAACCATCATTACTGCTACCTGTAAACATATGAAGGGGAAGGTTGACTTCTGTAAGTCGTTGATACGCTTCTCACTGCTCTTCGTAAATTCCCTCAGATTGGGGATTACTTCTGCTTTGCAGAAATTATCTGCAGGGGGCCCTGCATAATTTATAACAATCTCTGGCAAAACCTCAGAAAAAAAGATATGCTTTTGACTTAGTCGGATATCAGAGGCTGCGGCAGGACCCAGGGAAAAGGCTCCCCAGGTGGCATGAGGCTCTGGGAGCGACCATCCCAACCGAGGGACGGCCCCTTGGAACTTCCTTCTCCTGAGGAGTGTGACACAGTTAAAAAGAAAGAAAAAAAAGAGCCACAAGCAACACAGCTGCCAATGAAATAGGAGAGGGATTGCTTTCAAAAGCACGTGGGGCTCTCACTGGACTCTCTGAGCTCATCCACGGGACAGGAGCGCAAGGCCATGGAGTAGAACCTCAGCGTGGGTCTAAGAAGAGACAGAAATGGCCCAAGAAGTCAGCCTGAAGTCCCTCTGGGAATCAGAACGCGAGGTGATCCTCCAGGTCCTGTACCGGGACCGGGAGGTTCGAAACATCGAGGAGGAAAGGATACGGTATGCTGTCATTTAGTGGGTGGGATTCTTTCGTTTTTTTGGCTTTTTCTGCTTGGAAGCTGCTTCTACCTGGCGTATTGCTGCTTGCTGCCTACTCAGCTTCTTGTCTGACAAGAGTCGGAATGAAGGGCTATAGGGGGAGGTAACCTTTGCTGTGTCACTAAGCTTCGGGGATGGTAAGGGAAAGAATGCCTTTTGTTTTTCCTTTAAAATAATGCCTTTTTTTGTGATAAGTTTGCTGTCTGTCAGCTTGTCCATTTGCCTACTTGGCAGGAATAATTCAAGGGAAGCTTTCAGGCTTCTCATACGCTCTTCAAGGGAAAGACCTCCGGCTAAGGGTTTTCCTAAATTATTTTTGGTGGTAACCGAAGGCACAAAGAAAGCAGCATAGAAACAGCAAAGCTGCTGGAATCCATTCCTGTCCTTTTCTTTGCTCTCTTTTGCTTCCCAGCCGGCTTTGAGGGAAGGGGAAACCTGCCCAGCCTGCTCTCCGACTGATCTGTCAACAGAGAGCCTCTTTCCTCTCTCTGAGCTCCGCGGGCTGTTGGACATTAGTTTAACACTTAACAAAGCAGGGCTGGGCGGTGTCCGTGGTTAGCTGTCAAGATCCATCTTTAATATGGTGATGCTTTGTTTATCGATCGATGTCTATGGAGAGTGTGAGGTCTAGAGGATAAGTAAATGGGATAGGCTTTTTGGTTTTGCTTTGTTTTTAATGGCAGAACTCCTTCAGAGTCTGCCAGGAAAAATAAACATATAAAATAAAACTTTGGACCACCAAATGTCTGAGGAAGGAGAGAAAATTTCTGGTTAACTAGAAGGTACAATGCTCTTTTTCTACCCTCCTCTGTTATCCCAAAGCTCTCTAAGTGTACTTATACTTTATTCCACTAAAAACATACACTGGACAAAATAGATTTTTCTTTGATGATTCAAGATCCTACGGTGATTTAGAAGCATCGTTCTGAATATCAACAAAGTAACATGGATACTGTGGTAAAAGGTTTGTTACAAAGGGTACTGATTCTAGAGCAAATCCTGAAAGTTGGATGTAAGCTTGTTTCTTGGGGTTAGCTTCTCTTTTCTAAAAGTAAGTAACAGTAGGGCTTCCCTGGTGGCACAGTTAAGAATCTGCCTGCCAACGCAGGGGACATGGGTTCAATCCCTGGTCCGGGAAGATCCCACATGCCGCGGAGCAACTAAGCCCGTGCACCACAACGACTGAGCCTGTGCTCTAGAGCCCACGAGCCACAACTACTGAAGCCCATGTGCCTAGAGCCTGTGCTCCACAACAAGAGAAGCCACCGCAATGAGAAGCCTGCGCACTGCGAAGAGTAGGCCCCGCTCGCCACAACTAGAGAAAGCCTGCGCACAGCAACGAAGACCCAACGCAGCCAAAAAATAAACAAATAGATTTTAAAAAAAAGAAAGGACATGAGAGCAAGCATTAAAAAAAAAAAGTAAGTAACAGTAAATCAACTATACTCCAATAAAAATTTAAAAAATAATAAAAGTAGGGCTTCCCTGGTGGCGCAGTGGTTGAGAGTCCGCCTGCCAATGCAGGGGACACGGGTTCGTGCCCTGGTCTGGGAGGATCCCACATGCCGCGGAGCGGCTAGGCCCGTGAGCCATGGCTGCTGAGCCTGTGCGTCCGGAGCCTGTGCTCCGGAACGGTAGAGGCCACAACAGTGAGAGGCCAGAGTACCGCCAAAAAAAATAAAAAATAAAAATAAATAAATAAAAAATTAAAAAAAATAATAAAAGTAAGTAACAGAGACATTTCATAGAAGAGTATTCTGGCTAATGATACCTTCTGGGGTCCAATGTAATGTCCCTTTGTACTAGGGCTATTGTCCTGGGGAAATAGGGACTGAAAGTAACTGACCACCCATAAAAAACAGTAGCAAAAGCATAGCATCGAGGGAGCTCAGCTTGGTGCTCTGTGATGACCTAGATGCGGGAGAAAGGCAGGGCGGGAGGTTCAAGAGGGAGGGGGATATAGGTACACAAATAGCTTATTCACTTCATTGTACAGCAGAAACTAAACACAACATTGTAAAGGAATTTTACTCCAATAAAATTTTTTTAAAAATTTATTCCATTAAAAAAAAGCATAGCATCAGCTAAATAACTTTATTGGGGAACTTAAGACAATACCAGGCATGTATACTGTATATTTATAGGTCATTCCCTGCCTTGCATTTTAGAATTGATGCCATTTTCTGCATTTTTCCTCTTCTTTCAACTGTCCTTGCTTGCTGTTATAATGCCCTTTGGGCACAGAGGGATGAACCTAGCCAGCCATAGTGTTTATGCTTTGCCATTTAATCCTCACAGCAACCCTGGGAGGTAAGGCTTGCACAGCCGAGAAAACCTCTGAGCCTCTGCTCCAAGACGTCGCAAGAGATCCTGGTTCACACAGCCGTGTTGGAACCCGGGGGTGCTGGATGCCAAAGCCCCTTCTTTCTCGCCATGGGTGGTGCTGTTGGGGCCCTTGCCATGTAGGAATTTGGCTGGCATCTGTCCTTCCACTCAATCGCTTCTTATCATTTAACTCTCTGGACCACAGGAAACTGAAGACACACTTGCAGCATCTCAGGTGGAAAGGCTCGAAGAGCGGGAGCCAGGAGTACAAAGAGAAGTCCTGTGCCCGCTGCCGGCAGGCCCTGGGGCTCCTGCTGAACCGGGGGGCCGTGTGCCAGGGCTGCAGCCACCGCGTGTGTGCCAAGTGCCGAGTGTTCCTGAGGATGACCCGCGCCTGGAAGTGCACCGTGTGCTTTGAGGACAGGTGAGGATGGGTCGGGGAGCCTCAGAGATGGTCCAGGACAAACTGTTGACAAAGACGGCTGTCGCTCCTCAAACTTAATCGGGAAATGTTTGCCGAGTGCTTAATATGGAGCTGCCTTTCTAGAAGTGGAAGCTATTGTAATTCAAAAGTGCGTTTTGTTATATGAAAAAAGTTTTTTTGTTTTTTTTTTTAATTTACAGAAGTTTGTTTGTAATGGCTGGGGATCAGTTAACGTAGGAGCTAAGATTCCTTTCAATTTCTTAACGTTCATTTTGTTAGTTTTCTTAGAGCTTAATTTATCTCTTTGAGGAAAAGTGGAGTGAATTGTAACACAGAGAATATTAGAGTGTCCTGTGCAGCTTTATTAAGGCCTTTTTGAAGGAGGCAAGCTGACCTGTATTGGATGCTCTACTAAAGAAATGGGTACGCTTTCTATTAGTGATAGCGGGAATCTACATTCTAATCTTTTGATGTTGTGAGGTTTTAAAATATTTTAAACATGGAATTGGCATTTTTGAAAATGATAAAGAATATTTGTGGCTTGATCTCACACCGTTCGAAGCACGAGCAGGCTGGTCGCCAATCCCTTGGAAACACGGGGAGTGTTTCTGCCTCTCGTGGGGTAGCGTGCACAAGGACATCACAGAACTTATGAGAGGTAGATATGTTCGTCTGGTGTGAATCTAGGAGAGGAATCAGAGACTGAGATTTGAAAACAACTTGTAAATATTGCTGTAGACGCGTGAGTGCCCCGGGGGCTAAGACTGTGAGAGGTGCTTACACAGTGTAGGCACAGCAGCTGGGTTTTCTCTCCCCCTAAATCGGAAGGATTGTGTCTATGGGCATATCCTGATATTAATCTCCTTAAATTTCCCATCCCTTTGCAAGGCTTAATGTATTTCAGTCAGTCATTCGAAGGCAGGTTGTTCAACCAGATTTCCTTGTTCCTAAGCTCCCCCGCTCTGACGCAGCACACCAGGTCACTCCCACGTGGTCAGAGTTATCTCCACACATCTCCCGTTTCCTCAGTTTGTGAAGCCGATGCCCTGCAGGCTTTTCTCAGCTTGAGAGGGAAAGACCAAGATTTCCTGTGAGCCGCCTGGCCTGCACTTGGGCTCAAGCAGGTCTGGGCTCTTGAGAGAGGAGGAAAGGTCCTAAGACCTCCAGTCAACCATATATATTTGGTCGATAAACACTAAGGATAAACACTGTGTCGTAAGGTATTAAATTCTTCAGCACTTTTTCTTCATCTAGTGGTTAACTATAAGCCACAGGGTTATAGGACAGGGGCTGAGGCAACCTCCCAGGAAGCTGGCCCTGCTGAAGTCTCTGCCCTGGAGGGCACCATGCCCGGGGCATTGTAACTTTACCGCTCTAAGCTCATGAAGCGTGATTTCTGAAACCCCAGCTTCCTTATGTTGAAATAAGGATGTTTGTCAAAATATCCAAGATGACTGCGTTGCTCTGAGTGAACTGACATAGGAAATCGCTTGGGGAGAGAGCTAAGTAATTTATAACCCAACTCCCCCCCTCCCCGCCTACTTTCTTCGAAGCTCTCTGCTCTCTCTCTCTCTAGTTTTGTCCACGCTGGGCTGCCTTCCAATCCTGGGGCCAAACCAAAGAAAAGCCTTGGGAAAACTTGAGGGTAGACGATAGTCACAACTGAACTGGGTCCTGGACAGGTTTTTGACCCTATCATTTTCCTCTCCCTGCTTCTTCCTCAGCCTGAGACCCATTCCTCAAGAAGTGGACTTGCTGTGGGAACAGGAGAGAAAATAGGTTTTAAAATCAAGAAAGAAGAAGCTCTAGGGTAGCAATTTAAAAAAGCAAAACCAATGTACAGATTGCTGCAGTCAGTGCCAAAGTCCTGTGACCAGTGCTGGCCTTGGGCTTGTGTTGAGGGTCCAGGAGACACCTGAGGTTTCTGCCTTCTGAGCAGGTTTTCTGCTGAGGACCCCAGGAGCTCAGAGGAGGGAGAGGCGAGGGAGGGCTGAACTGGCTCAAGGTGACTTCCCAGAGCACCCAGGTGGGAGCATTTCTGCAAGCGGGTCGGGATTAGAGAGGGAGACAGACATTGTCCGGGAGAGGGAACGTCGTGGGCATGAGTGTGGACCACTCACCGTGTGGGAGGCTGTGTTAAGCATTTCTTGACACCAAATGTTTTATTTAAATCTTCAAACAATCTTACGTGACAGCTACCACCATTATCCCAATTTTATAGGGGAAGAAACGGAGGCTTAGAGACACAAGGGAGCCCAAGGCCATGTGGTCAGTAAGCCTAGAACCAGGTCTCCAGAGTCCCGTCTCTTCTTTTTGTTTTAAATTTAAATCACTGTGAGTGATCCAAAATTATTTTTAATGGTAAAAATGAACACATACAATCAAGTAGAATATTACAGTCATTAACAATGTGATGCTCTGTTAACAGAGATGCATACCAGCTGTTGTGAATTTCAAGAGCAGCTTATCAAACCTTGTGGTACACTTTTCTTTCATTTTAAAAAAGATACATAAACAAAATTATCTGGAAGAATATATATCAAAGAAATGATTCTTTCTCTCTCTTTTTAAATTTGTAAGGTCCTTGTTGTTTTATCTCTTTGATATATCGTAGTGTATATCTGTTAATCCCAAACTCCTAATCTATCCCATCCCTTCTTGATCTCCTCTCTCTCCTGCCTTCTGGGAGACTCGCCCGGAGGAACGGGGTCTTAAAAGCCACTCGGAAGAGTTCGGATTGGAGGCTGCAGGAAATGGGGTGTGAGCATACGCACTTTGCCAGAAGAAAGCCAGGTGAAAGTCTGCCTGCATTCTGCAGGACAGACTCAGGAGGGGAAGATGAAGGTGAATGAAGCAGGTGAAAGTCTTTTCAGTGAACGAGGTGTGAAGGGATGAGGCAGGCGGCAACAGAGATGGGGAATGTGAGGGAGAGTTCAACAAAGGGGTGATTGAACTTGGTCATAGGGGATGAAAGAGGGAAAATTGAAAAACAGTTCTGTGGACTAGCAAAACTGATAGCTCTTCAGGCTTAACTGGAAGAACCAAAGGAAATAGAGAGTAAAAGAGAAGCAACAGAAAGAACTAGGTAAACAAAGGCAAGTCGGAAAGGACTTAGAAGGGAAGGTTGGTTGAAAGTTGCTTCCAGTGATGGGGGCCGTGTGTTATCCTTAGCAGGAGCCATCAAAAGAGGCGTGATTTGGGAGGAAAGAAGACAGAGTCAGATTCCTAGAATTTGGAAAATGTAATCTTTCAAATTTCAGACTGATGCTCCCAGTATTTTCATAATCCCATGTTTCGGTAAAACACCGAATCACCACTTTATATCCACAAGGCAAATAACTAATGTATGAGAATGGAATAATTCCAAATCATGATTGTAAATCCTTCTGCCCTTCAAGTGAGGAGGAAAAGGTATAACTCTATAAAAGACTGAAAAGAAATTGAATGCCAGGTATGGTTTAACAGATTTGGCCAAGGAAGGATTTTAGCTTGGTGCCAAGGTTAAAGGGACATTTTTCTACTGCTTCTCTTTGTTTCAAAACTTGATTTCTTCTTTTTTCTAATCTGATTTTTAGCACTGTCGATAGGAACTGTGTTAATTTGTTTCACATGAAAGAGTACATGGACAAGTTAAATATACTGAGTAAAATATTTCACATAGCTGTACATTTCTAAATTTTCAAGAGGTTAGCCATAAATTTTCAAAAGGTTAGCCACTAAGATTAATTTCACAGAGAAGAAGCCTTTTTTTGTTTGAAATACAGTTTTTTCTTCTTCGTTCTGATTTGGAGATGGCATCTGTTTTAGTTCTCACGAGAAGCTTGGTCGCTTCGCGTGGTGTAGCTGCACTGCTTTCCGTGGGAACGGGACAGCTGATTACGTAAAGGATCGTGATATTCTTCTCATCCGTTGGCCAAATGAGAGTAAGGATTACATAACAGCCTTTGAAGCCTTATGTTACCAAACATATAGTTAAAAATGGAAATTTATGGGATACTTTTTTTTTTTGCGGTACGCGGGCCTCTCACTGTTGCGGCCTCTCCCGTTGCGGAGCACAGGCTCCGGACGCGCAGGCTCAGCGGCCATGGCTCACGGGCCCAGCCGCTCCGCGGCATGTGGGATCCTCCCGGACCGGGGCACGAACCCGCGTCCCCTGCATCGGCAGGCGGACTCCCAACCACTGCGCCACCAGGGAAGTCCTGGGGGATACTTTTTGTAAAAGTTTATTTTTGAAAAGCTTATTTTGTGCTTACTGAAGGGAATGTTTACACAGTAGTTTGAGTATCATTTTTATTGTTGGTGTTGAAGTTGAAATTTCTTCTGTGGTCAGCACTTGATTAGTCATGGCAGGTCTTGCTTTTAAAGCCTTTTTGAGATGAGTAAGCTTTCCATACCCTTGAGTTCATACTCAAAGTTGTCAGCTCACTCAGTTCAGCTGAAACTTTTCGCCCTGCAGGAAGGTCAGTGCCAGGAGGCCATTTTCTCAGTCTGGCACTCAGCGTGGTGGTGATGTGCTGCCTTGGTTAAAACTCTGGGCTGAAATGTCGGCGAGAGTTAAGGATACTGGGGACGTAGGGATACCAGACAGGCTTGTACGTCCTTTCCAGTCATGTGTTCACAGGAATTTCTACAATAACAGACCCATGCCCATAGATCAGACCAAGAGCGCATTCTAGTGCCGAATAGAAGTCATGGGTGGATTTACCGATTTTAGATGATTCCACTGCTGCACTGTTTCATGAATGCAGGTATGTTTGAGACCATGATTCCCCAATTTGCAGGTCCTTTATTCTGATTCATTTTCAGTGAACTGAAGTGTCTCTTCAAAGATTTTTTCTTCCTAGAAGAGCACGTGGGTGGCATGTGTCCTAAACCTATCTGAGGATGCCTTCGGTAGCCTTTTCTCATGAGTGAGGACTTCACTGGCTTTTAAAGCTCAAGTCCCAACTTTTCATCTCAAAATCGTTGTCTTTTGGAATATAATGTGACAGAGACGTTGG